CCTAGTGACGTTCTGACATTTCTTACGTTAGCTTAGAAGTTCAAGTGATATGCCTTGGAACACTTAGTTACCTGACGAAATACACACATTTTCGTCATACGGCAGATAATTTTTTAAAAAGCAGGTCTGCATATTGACACTTTGGACACCCCTGATATTTGCAGATTAAAAACAAATACCGTCTGTACAGTGACTTTTTGGACGCCGCATGGTGTCTGCACATTTAAACAAAAATAATAACGTTCCTAACTGCGGATGAGAAAGGAGGAGGGTTAAGCCTGCTAACATATTTTTTACCCTGCACAGGTCATTAAGCTACAGAAAATAGATTGAAAGGAAGGGAAAATAGACTGCAAGCCCTTTGTGCAGTGCCGTTTTACAGCATAAGCTTGTTAAACCATACCTTAGGGCCTCACAGTCTGCATGAGCCTCTACAATTCCTTAATTTTCTTTTAGACTAGTCGAGGATTAAAAATTTTATTGTTTTGTGATTACGCAGACATAATCAGTATTTTTTCGTTTATTAAAAATAAAACGACAATATATTTCCATAATTTATATACTCAAAGTTGTATATATTGTTTTAGGTTTTCTGATATCAGTTGGTGTAATTTAAACCATCAGGTACTTTGCTCCCTCGAAGGGGGAGCTTTAGGTTATAATTGTGTCTAGTTAATATGCGCCATGTAAAATGGCTTAGCATTGCTCGCTACTAAGAGCCCTGAAAAGGACTCCTGTAGTGTTGATGCGATTAAAGTAGACAGACCCAAACATTGTCGCGACCAGCGAGGAAGTCGTCTACTGGCGGGACAGTGGGTGACTCAGTCGTTGATGTGTATTTAAACAAGTTTTTATAAGGAGTAGAAAATTATAGGGAAGAGAAAAAGTTGGTAAGAAACAACAATTAGTTTATGTTAGCTTTACAAAATCGATAACAATAAACAAACAAAGGACGTTGCGGCGATTAGCCTTCATCAGCACATAAAGGACAACACAGTACACATACACAAATAAGCTCTAACTATGAAGTGACTACATAGGACTCTAATGTATAAATTAACGATACTCATCTAGTGTCCCTGGCGAAAAATCTTCGTTCAAATGAAACGACGGTCAGCCTATATACCTCCAACGCGCAGGTAGGGGCAAAAAAAAGGGACGGCTGGACGCCAACAGCGTACACTAAGTGTCTAAGGATGGAGGGAGGGGTTTGGCCTATAGGGCGTAACCGGGGTTGGGTTGTGGGGATGACCTTAGTCCATCCGCGTGGAATAAAAGTGGTGCCTGTGCTTGCAAACAAATATCGACAGACAGACAGCTAGATAGATAGATAGATAGATAGATAGATAGATAGATAGATAGATAGATAGATAGATAGATAGATAGATAGATAGATAGATAGATAGATATAGATAGATAGATAGATAGATAGATAGATAGATAGATAGATAGATAGATAGATAGATAGATAGATAGATAGATAGATAGATAGATAGATAGATAGATAGATAGATAGATAGATAGATAGATAGATATAGATAGATAGATAGATAGATAGATAGATAGATAGATAGATATATAGATAGATAGCTAGATATATAGATAGATAGATAGATAGATAGATAGATAGATAGATAGATAGATAGATAGATAGATAGATAGATAGATAGATAGATAGATAGATAGATAGATAGATAGATAGATAGATAGATAGATAGATAGATATATAGATAGATAGATAGATAGATAGATAGATAGATAGATAGATAGATAGATAGATAGATAGATAGATAGATAGATAGATAGATAGATAGATAGATAGATAGATAGATAGATAGATAGATAGATAGATAGATAGATAGATAGATAGATAGATAGATAGATAGATAGATAGATAGATAGATAAATGCTACTCTCTTACTGTCAGCTATCAAATAGAGACAGTAAGGATGCTTGTTATACAAAAGTAATCAGTCGAGCCCGAGAGTAAGACTGGTAACAACCAGAGTGTAAGGGAGCGATGAAGGGATAGAATTGGAAAACAGCATGTGTGGATGGTGGTGTGGATAGGCGAGTGTGTCCTGGATAGATGGGTGGGTAGATGAATGGATGGAATGGTGGATGACTGTATTAGTGGATGAATGGAATGGTAGATGAATGGATGGGTGGGTAGATGAATGGATGGAATAATGGATGACTGTATTAGTGGATGAATGGTATCGTAGATGGATGGATTGATTGATCAAATATGAGATGAGGTAAAAACATGAGTCTAGTAACACATTGCTTCTCTCTTACTGTCCGCTATCAAATAGAGACAGTAAGGGTGATTTTAAGAAAGAGACTGCGCTTTATACAGCTTAGGGCAGTCCCGTGCGGTAGATTTGCTCAGTATGGTGCAAGTCTTCAAAATTCCGCCGCTAAAAGAATCTCACTATAAGATCAGAAGTAGAAGTTGTATTTTTATTTCGCTGCTTATGCCAAACTTCTCTGCGGTGCCGCTTCGTGTGGCTGTTTGCCTGTAGCACATCACGGCAGGGTCCTATCTTCGGGCCTCGTCCAGACTAAATCCGGCCCTACCGTTGTCAGAGAAGTGAGAAATACAGCTCAGGGATGGAAGTATGCTCTGTAGAAACCTACCGATCTCCAGTAGGTGGCCCCTATCAACAAATGTTTTGGCCCAAATGGCACAAAAAGATGATATATATTTGTTTCATAATGTGTACTGTGCACATAAGGAAGATGAATGGTAGTAGACTACGAGGGAGACCAAGAAGACGATGGCGAGATAATATCCAAACTAACCTGCAAACACTTGGTGTTACCAAGTGGAAAGAGAAGGCCAACCAGATTGATGAATGGAGGCGGGTGATATCTGCAGCAATGAACCTCAAGGGCTCGGAATGCTGAAGAAGAAGAAGAAGATGTATCCTCTTCAGAATTACTGATATTTCCTCTTACCATTTGCAGCAGAGTGTGTGCTGGGAGATCAGAAGAGACTGGTCCTTCCAAGATTTCCTTTCAACGGCACCTGCCCCGAGTTCATCGCCCAAGAGGGTAGGAGCATGTGTTACAACAGCGTCATCGAAAACTTCTGCTGTGCCACCTGCAAAAGATATAAAACAAATATCCTAGGTAAGCAACAATTATTAATAAGGATATACGTGTATTCTAGGTTGGTATAGAAACCTCCATCACATTGTCTATTATTTTATTTTAAATTGTTGCATCATCAAATGAATTATTACATTAAAAAAATTTTTTTTGTTCGTTGTTGTAAAGCAGGGCTGTTCAAGTCGCGAGCCGTGGACAAAATCGTTGCTAGCTGCATTGTCTTCTCCTAATTCTTCTTATTCTGCTTCTTATTCTTGGCGTTCACTGGCTGTAAACCAGCCAAAAGTTCTGGTTGTTCATCCACCTCTGGACTTTAGACTTGTTCCAGAACCGGAGTGTTCCGTTCACATCTGTTTTACAGATCTGGCTTATTTGTTTGCAGACTATTGGTTCCTTGCCTTTCAGACATATGCACTTCGACTTAATGGAAACCCACAATCAGTTGACTGTTACGACATGCTTGTGAGGGAGGCAGTGGGTCTAATCATGTTTTTTTCCTAATTGGTGCCCAGAAACCAGCACCATTTTTAAAATGTTTGCTCCTGAGTAAACTCAGTAAAACAACCATCTCATGTAAAGCCTAATTACCTGTTGTATAAATCTATTCTAGAATTCTGCAGAAATGTAATTACCTATTGAATACATCATTTTAACAAAACTGTTGACAGTAAGTACTCAAATGTGAAATTATTGTACATTCTTGTGAAATAGCAAACACTCAGTTCATAAATCTGTTTTTGCAGATAGCGACAAATCTCCTTGCTGTGTGTGTTCTAATTTGTTGAAGATGCCTAATGCACAAATGCACCTGTGAAAGTGAAAAGTGAAGGACCAATTTCCACGCCTTTAGGCGTATAGGGCATTCAGGGCTAGACCTATATTTTTATAGGCCAATCGGCACAAAATGGGTGATGTGGTAAGCATCACGCCGGCCGCCTTTACTTCACGATAGTGCACGCAGTACCCACTCAAGGCTGGGTCGACCTGGGAGCCAGGGTCAATTTTGAAAAAATTGGAGCGAACCCACGACCTTCGGATCCGCGGCGAGCGTCTAGTCGCTCGGCCATGGCGACTCCCCAGTTTATTGTATAACCCTAATTAAGAATTCTATAAATGTATTTTATATTGTTGTACAAAATTTACAATTCCGTAGTTTATAAATATATTCTAATAGTTGTATGCAATTATTGCCTAGTATATAATACTATAACACAAGAAAATTAGTAGCTAAATATAGTCAGCCAACTGGATCAATCAAAAATAGTCAAGGAAAGGTACTTACTAACACTAAAGATCAAATGGACAGATGGGTTGAATATTTTGAAATGCTTCTAAATAGACCAGGCCCAGAGGCTCCTCCAGATATCCAGCCTTTAGAAATGGAACTGGATATCAACTGTGAGATACCATCCAAAGAGGAAATTAGAAAAGCTATAAATCTTCTCAAGGAAGGAAAGGCGACAGTCCCAGATGGTATCCCAGCTGAAGCCATCAGGACCAACATAAACACATCAACAGAATTGCTACATAGATTATTCAGTAAAGTCTGGAAGACCGAAGAAATACCAGCAGACTGGAGAGAAGGATATCTTGTGAAACTGCCCAAAAAAGGTGATCTACAGGAGTGTAAAAACTATAGAGGAATTATGTTGCTGTCAGTTCCTGGAAAAATATTAAGTAGAATTATTTTGAAAAGATTAAAAGATGCTATTGATAAAATGCTATTAGATGAGCAGGCAGACTTTCGGTCAAACAGATCCTGTACTGATCAGATAGCCACATTACGTATTATAATAGAGCAAAGCATTGAACTGAACTCACCACTTTAGATTGGATTTATAGACTATGAAATAGCATTTGACAGCATTGATAGGGAATCTCTCTGGAAATTGATGGGGCACTATGGAATCCCACAGAAAATTATCAACTTAGTAAAGGCAACATATAAAGACCTGAAATGTCGAGTTCTTCGTGAGGGAAAGCTAACAGATGCATTTGAAATAAAAACAGGTGTGCGACATGGATGTCTTTTGTCGCCTCTCTTATTTTTACTGGCTATAGACTGGACTATGAAAACAGTAACTGCTAACACCAAGAATGGAATTCAGTGGACCCCTACAAAACAGCTTGATGATCTGGACCTCGCTGATGATATTGCTCTTCTATCCCATTCACGTAATCAGATGCAAGATAAATTAAATATACTTAATGCGAGATCACAGCAGCTTGGTCTGAAAATCCATAAAGGAAAGACAAAGATAATGAGAAAAAATCAGGCAAATAGTAATGTGGTTTCTCTTTATGGCACCCCACTCCAATACGTGGAGTCGTACACCTATTTAGGCAGTAATGTAGATAAAGATGGAGGAACTGATAGAGATATTAAAATAAGAATACAAAAGGCAAGAGGGGCTTTCATAGCACTAGGGAATTTGTGGAGGTCAAAAGAAATTAAAAGAAATACTAAACTAAAAATTTTTAATTCTAATGTCAAATCAGTACAATTGTATGGGGCGGAAACATGGAGAACAACCAAGGCAATTACAAATAAATTACAGACATTCATTAACTGGTGCCTGCGCAGAATAGAGGGAATAAAATGGTATGATAGAATAACTAATGTAGAACTTTGGGAGAGAACTAAACAGGCTCCAGTGGATCAGGAGATGAAGAAAAGACGCTGGTGTTGGATAGGACACACACTGAGAAAACAGGAGAACAGCATAACTAGAATGTCTTTGCTTTGGAACCCACAGGGGCATAGGAATAAAGGAAGGCCAAAAAACACATGGAGAAGAGAGCTGTTAGAAAGATGGGGAGGACATGGGGAGAACTCCATGCAATGGCGAAGGATAGAACGACTTGGCGTGAGTTGGTTGAGAACCTATGCTCCATTGGGGGATAGAAAGGCAGAAGAAGAGAAGATATAATACTATTGTGTAGCGTTGTAGAACTCTAATTACCTGGTACATATTTCCACAGTATATTCTTTTTTTTTAAAGCTAATTACCTAGTATTTTACTGAATTGTAGACAAGAATGTATAGCTTAAGCTGGAGTTTTGGGTATACAAAGCTAGACCTTTATTGTTAAACCAATAGGTACTTGGTGGGTGATAAGGCTCAGCAACAAGGCGGCTGCCTTTACTTCGCGGTAGACTACCTGGCACACATTAAAGGCTGTATTGAGCTACGAGCTAAAGTCATCGTTGAAAACGTCGGGGTCCGTTAGAATTTGAACTCAGTACTTTTGGATCCCAAGCTCTAGCCGCTACACATCAGTGGCTCCAATAAGCTAAATATCTAATATTTAACTCGTCTTTTCATTGCCTCATAAAGCTAAATATCCAGGTTTCAACTCTGTTTTTTATTACCGTATAAAGATAAATCGGCGTAATGCTGACCACATTACCCACCTAGTGCCAATTGGTCTGTACAAATATGGGTGCTTTTCCCATATGTCCGATGCGGCTAAAGGCTTGAAAAGGGATCTTTACTTATAAAGCTGAATACACAGTATTTAACTCTTTTTGTTGTTGTTGTTGTTGTTGTTGTTGTTGTTGTTGATTGCCGTTTAAAGCTAAGGACCTAGTATTTAACTAAGTTTCTGATTGCCCTATGAAGCTACATTACAAGTATTTAAATCTATTTGTCATTGCCGTGTAAAGCTAAATACCTAGTATTTAATTCTATGTGTGATTGCCGTATAGGCTAAATACCTAGTATTTAACAATTTTTTTTTGATTGCCATTAAAAGTCTAAATACGTAGTACACAACTCTATTTTTGGTTGCCGTATACCTAGTATTTAACTCTCTTTTTGATTTGCCGTATTAAGCTAAATACCAAGTATGTAACTTTTCTTTCGTTTGTCATAAAATGCTTAATATCGAATAGTTAACTCTGTTTCTGATTGCCGAATAAATCTAAACACCTAACATTTACATCTATTCCAGGCTGTGAGTATGGAGACAAAAACTACCAATGCCCATCGCTGGAAAAATCAATCGCCTGTTCCTCCAATAATGCAGCCGTCTGCTGCTCCACTTGCAAGTAAGCTACAATGACACTGGTTGAGCTGAAGTAACTGTATTATTGGTATTCAGAATGATCATTGAAAATCTGGTTACAATGCACCAACTTATGCCGTTTTAGAGTATTACAACGTGAAGGATCTTTGCCCAGGTGCGACTATGATACCAACATTATCAAGTAGAGCAGCGGTTCCCAACCTGCCGGTCGCGACCATTTTTTGAGTCAAACAACCCTTTCACTGGGGTTGCCCAAGACTATCGGAAAAAAAATCATATTTATTAAAGTTATGAAGGAAAAGAATTATTTAGGGGTCACTACAACATGAGGGAGCTGTATTAAAGGGTCGCTGTATTAGGAAGGTTGAGAGCCATAGATGTAGCAGGTTCTGTACAGAGCCTCGCTCCGATTATGGTCTGCCTGAAAGAAACGGTCTCTCGCCAGCTCTCCCTCCTCGTGTAGTTCCATATACAAACAGTCATTTACATCCTGTGCCCATCTTTGTGCTGGTCGGCATCTGCCCCTTCTTCCTCGCAATACGCCTTCTGTTATTATTTTCTTCCATCTACTGTGGCTCTTGATATGACTTGAATATGTCAGCTTCCGAGACAAGATGCTGTTTATTAGCCAATCTTCCTTCATGTTAAGATCTTTTAGAATATCAGTATTTGGTTTTGGCTTCCAGGATAAGTTTCTTGGTGCAATAATAAGGTAGTCTCCCTTTGCTCATAACACTAACGAAAACTAGTTACGCAGCTGCTTTGTTGTTGTTGTTGTTGTTGTTGTTGTTGTTGATAAATACAACGCCTCTGTCGGAAATCAAACTAGTGCTCCAGAAAAATGAAATCGTCAAACATAATAACTAACTATCAGCCACACAAAAAGGGCATTAAGATGGCCGAAACCACAATGAAGATTGGCTTGCATGAATTGACTATTTGAAAATCATGGAGGCAAGTCTGCGTTTAAACGAAATATTTTCGCCTCATTGGTGATTTGACAGACAAATTAGTTAGACATAACCCTAACCTTGGCTCAAAGAGCAAACATCCTTGTCTTCAAATCAACAACCTCCTCCCCCTTATGTAGAAAGGAATTTATAGTACATTTGAAGCTATAGAAAAAACACTATGCATAAAAAAAAAAAAAAAAAAACTACTGAAATTTCAGTGGAATTTATGTTTATAATGACCAAAAAACATTGTTTTCAAAAGATTTTTTTGTTAAAGCCAACAATATTTGTGTGACCTTGATAGTGAGTAAGAGCCGGAGCGCAGGGCCTTGCAGGCTAAGGCATCTTGCAACCCCCCCCCCCCCCCGCCCCATCCCCCAACCCTCACTTCCCTTCACGACCCATAAATTAAACTTTTAAAGGGCTAGGAGCCCCCCCCCCCCCCCCTCCTTCCTTTTTCCCCGCGCCTTCCCATCCTCACTTACACCTGGCCATGTATTGTTGTTCAATTCCTATGTTTCTTTTTACACCTTTTGATGTTGTTTTTTTTTTTTTTTTCAGATGTATATTTTTTTCTAGCTTACCACAGTATTATTAATGCATCTTCTTTTTCTTTATTATTATTGCATCTTCCTTTTCTTTTTCTTCTTTCTCTTCTTCTTTGAATTCTTCTTCTTCTTCTTTCTTCTTCTTCTTCTTCTTCTTCTTCTTCTTCTTCTTCTTCTTCTTCTTCTTCTTCTTCTTCTTCTTCTTCTTCTTCTTCTTCTTCTTCTTCTTCTTCTTCTTCTTCTTCTTCTTCTTCTTCTTCTTCTTCTTCTTCTTCTTCTTCTTCTTCTTCTTCTTCGTTTTCTTCTGCTTTTTCTTCTTCTTCGTTTTCTTCTGCTTTTTCTTCTTCTTCTGCTTTTTCTTCTTCTTCTTCTTCTTCTTCTTCTTCTTCTTCTTCTTCTTCTTCTTCTTCTTCTTCTTCTTCTTCTTCTTCTCTTCTTCTTCTTCTTCTTCTTCTTCTTCTTCTTCTTCTTCTTCTTCTTCTTCTTCTTCTTCTTCTTCTTCTTCTTCTTCTTTCTTCTTCTTCTTCTTCTTCTTCTTCTTCTTCTTCTTCTTCTTCTTCTTCTTCTTCTTCTTCTTCTCTCTTCTTCTTCTTCTTCTTCTTCTTCTTCTTCTTCTTCTTCTTCTTCTTCTTCTTCTTCTTCTTCTTCTTCTTCTTCTTCTTCTTCTTCTTCTTCTTCTTCTTCTTCGTTTTCTTCTGCTTTTTCTTCATGCACATTCAGGCGTTAGAATAAGTATTTTTGAAGGATGTAGCATTAATTATGAACTCGTCTATATCTTTATACAATGTGCACCAGGAAATGGTCCTCTATAAATTATCTCAGTGTCAAATATTTTGCAGTCATTTTACGAATTGAACAAATGCATTCATCAATACCCTTATCTTTCATGTATTGTCATTTCGACCAATGATATAGACGTGTTTCACATTTTCAGCGGTGCTGTTAGAAAACGTTCCACGAGAGAAGACATAAGTCCCTACTCTATCAGAGATGACAGTCACAGAGAGGCTCACATCTTCGAAGGTTTCAAGGCTAGGTTCCAGGACTTTTCTAAGAAGCCACGATATGAGTAATGACGATGTCTGACGGCTCTGTGTTAATTTTTTTTTTTCAAAGCATTTTTGTATTTTTTTTTTAAATTTCCTTCAAGAATTGTAGTCTGTAGGTTTAGCACTTCAAGTATGAGAATCAAACAGGTATACTGCAGCACCACTAAACGGTTACCCTGTAGTCCAGGGTGGGTGGCTAAGTCTTGCAATACATTTAGTTGAAGCGCATCCTTTAATCCGTTTCGGAAGCCCTGTCCAGCTTTAAAAATCTTTAACTCAGTCACCGTTCGGTATAAATATTAAAATTTGGCATTCAAACTGTTAATGATTACCTTCTTGTAAGAATTATTTTTTAACAAACATCTAGTTATCGTTTGGCCTTATCTGAGGTTTGTGAAGCATAACAATGTCACCGACTCATAGCAAACAATTAACATGCTTACTTACAGTTAACTGAGTAACAGGGACTTTTCAAAACATGAAACTGCATGCGTTTCATAGAAATCTTCCTCTCACGTAATCTTCAGCATTACTATCCCGTGAGTTGCGTATTATTCACTGTGTGCTTGGATAGGCTAGTAAAATAAATACCAAGCATTGCTTTACATTTAAAATTATTTCCAAATTTTATCTAGGAGTGTGTATCAATTACGGAATAAAAAAATTTTTTTATTTTCAGACACCGATCAAAGAAATTCATGGCTTTAAGAAAACAGCAGAACGTAATAAATTTTTAATTATTTAATCATAAGAACACGGACAATCGAATGTCACATGCAAAAATTCATGTTCATCCGTACAGGGGTTTCTAGGTTTTTGTTAACAAGTGAGGTAACGACTTTTGAAATTCACTGTAGTTCTGCGCTATATATTGTTCAGCACATTCTTTACTGTGTGTAGCTTAGCTGATTCTAAGCATAATATTTAATCTCATGGTCTAATGGGCTTTCAATGAGCTCATGTTGTAACGCATTACCATAAAGAGTGCCATGACAAGACAGTGCTTCCTAGCTGCAGGTCTGAAGGTACTGAATTCGGATCCGCATACACAAGCTTCCAATTCGACCAATCATACAATGGTTACCGGGGAATATCTTCGGAAATAAACGCACACAAAGTGGTATTGACCACAATGTTAACGATTGGTTACAGTCATACTTGTGAGTTAACTTTATTTTATGCACGAATGCTTATCTGGCTAACGATGGACAGGAGCGATCGTACGCGTCTCCACAAAGTGCATTCCCCAGCAATTTACACCAGTTTGTGTACTGACACCCCTCCACGCCATGACAAAAACTGTCAAGAATTGTCTCGCCTTTTCTTTCCCAATCTCTCTTTCCCCAAATCGTTCCAGTTGCCGCAATATTTTCCCATTTCACTCTTTTCATAACATAGCCACTATTATGATTACTGTCTCCTTCTGATGTTTATGATAAGTTGTCTTCGAGCCCACGACTGTTTTAAAACGTATAGGTTACTCATTCTAGCTGTCTGAGGAATGAAATAGCAGCATAGGATTTAGAACCGAACCTAAGCGAAACGACTAATTCAAAATTAGCCACACATTGGACCTCACCGTTCGTTTTTATTTATTAAAAACAATCAGTTAGAGAAGAGACACTACTGGCTGTTCAATCTCATACTTGAATCTGCTTTATATATATAATATATATAATAATATATAATATTACATAATATATAATTTCCCTGTGGGTTCTGAGGCCCCATTGTGGGTAAAACTAGAATAGCCTAACTGCCTCCAGAACAAGCATGTCGTAATAGTCGACTAAGTGGGAGCTTCACTTGAAGCATAAGTTCGTCTGTCTGAGATCTATCATGTCTGTAAAACGGATGTGCACGCAACACCAAAGTTCTGAAACAAGTCCAGAGGTCGACAAGCAAGCAAATTTTTTTTTTCCTGGGGCTTACAACTGGTTAAGGGGAAGAATAAGAATAAGAAGATTCTGGTTTTTTTAAATAAATCTAATATCTTTAGAACCATCAACAATGCAGACAGAAAACACAGACAGAGAACACAGACAGAGAGAGTCAGAAGCAACAACGACATTTAGAATATTTTTGTATCACTACTAATATCACCACTAAAATCACTACTAATATCACCAGTAATATCACCACTAATATCACCACTAAAAAGTGGCATAATGGATACTAATATAATGTGATGGTTGAGCATAATGAGAGAGAGTCGCAGATAACAAAGAGATACAAAAACGGCATCAACCAAATAGTGAATGGGAGATAGGACAAGAGGCAAAGCAAGAATCTGTGGAGAGGAAATACATAGACAGATATACAAACACTTGAAGTCACAATCCAAAGATAGAAGCTCGGAATGCTCAAGCAGTAGTAGTAGATTTGAATCCAGTTGCCCCAAGAGTTCACACAAATTTACATTTTCAAAAATTGAATATGATTAATATATTTTTTTTTTTATATTTGGTTTTCCTGAATTTGGATGTTACGAAGGGCAATCAGAAAGTAATGCTGCAAAGATATCTTCCACAACAATTGTAAACTTCACTGATTAGTGCTGTTGTTAACGGAATTAGATGCCATTTCGTATGCATAGTATTTTTGTCATGCATAAGACGATATGTTTTCCCAGATGTTTCAAGTTTATAATTAGGAGTAGTCTCATGTATGGGATGTGTTGAAAATATTTCTTTCCTAATTTTAGGTCCCATAAGAGTAATTGTCTTGTTCATAACGATCTGAAAACCATACATGCAGTAATTATGTTTTTACTTTAGACAGTTTATAATTGTATTGCCATATATTATTTAGCAATTATTGTATGAGCATGCACTTTAAGATAAAAATACACTTGTTATAATAACAGTGTACTGGCTTGACTAATTATTATCTTCTTTGATTCGTTACTTCTTTCTTGCATAATTCCTCCCTCCCCCCTCCCCCTCCCACTCCCACCCTCCATTTCTAGTATTGCGGTTTCTCTCTTATTTCTATATCTACTTTTCTTTATTTTTCTGTCGAAAAAAATATCCTATTCTGACGTTTCTTCTAGTTTAACTTATTTTTTTTTTCTTGGCTCATCTTCTTTCTTTGTGTCTGTTTATCGTTTTTGCTTTTCTCTTATTTGTATGCTGTCTTAAACGATTTGTGCATGCGCATTTTCTCTTTCACAACTCTACTCTACCCTCAACGATACTTTACATGATTGGTACCTTTCGGTCTTTTGGACGATAGTGTTATATTGCGCTATGAGGAGGCATCGGACTCACAGCCCATGACGATGGCGAGTGTGACTAGCAAGACCTACTCGCGTTTAAAAAAGAAGTCTTCCGCAATGATGGCATGGGATTTCGGGAACATTGTTGTCAACATTTGTGTTTAATCTGTTTTTTTCTTCTTCTCAGATGCTCAGCTTTCGTGCTTTCTGCAATCATTTCTTCCTTTACTCTTATTCTTTTCCTGATATGCCCCCAGTCCACACAACGCGGTCTATGGCATTTCGTTCATATGAGTCCACCTCAGTATCTGTATCATTCATGTCCCGCTTACTCACACCTTTATATCATAGTAGAGGTCGATCCCGATATATTATACACATCTTTAATAATAAAGGATGTCCTTAGCGACTCTGCCATCCCCCATTCTCCAGCTGTGACCCAGCCACGTGAGCCTGCGTAGACTGAGCACTGAGAAGACTGTTGTAATGCCTGTTTTTTCCAATACCTCAGTGTTTGTGATCTTGTCACTTAATGCAGAGTATTCTTCTTAGGCATCGCATGGCCTTTACTAAGTTAATAATTATCTGTGGGATTCTATAGCGTCCCATTCATTTCCAGAGAGAAGAAATTTAATAACCATAAAAATCAAATGGTCTGAACACTTAAACAGAATGCCTTGTTACGCTACAACATATAAGGCATTCATGAAAATAGGAGATTAACGTAGACCACGAGGCAGAATTTGTTATACATATTTATGTGTGTGTGTATATATATATATATATATATATATATATATATATATATATATATATATATATATATATACTTACATACAAGGTCCAACAAATAAGTAATGAGACGGATTCATTATGGCCAAGAAAAAAAATGCCATACATGTATCTAAGCGTGGAATCCAAAGAGGCAACCTTTGCCTATGATCAGGCACCTTTTCATAGCCGTCCGATTAGCAGACAACAAACAAGCCGCGGTTGTGTTACCCACGGCCAGCTCCAGTATAAATCTGGAGCTGGCCGTGGTGTTACCCTAGTTAGATGTGCAATATTAAGCAGTCAGCATGAAGCAAAAAAATATATTATTAAATTCTGTTTGATTCAAAAATGGTATGGAAAGTATTACTAAGGCATCAAGACCTGGACGCCTAATTTCTGTTCGTAATGAGAAATTAGTAGCAAAATTCCGAGAACGGATACAAGAAGATCGTTGTTCGACTGTGAAGATGAAGGTAGATAAATTTCGTCTTAATACAGATACATTTTAGTTGAAGATCTGGGCAAGAAAAAAGTTACTTGTCGGTTTGTATTCAACACCTGGCAATTTTTATCCCTGTTTCATGACATACACCAGCTTAAAGGGAGGTAGCTGTACAGGAATTGTTGGCCCCAAAACAAGTATGTGTTCTCAACCTCCACCGAATTTCCTAGATGTGTCTCCCTGTGCCTATTTTCTATTCCCAAAAATTAAAGATGCCATTGAAATAACGCGTCTTTGACAATATTGGCTTCCAAAAGGCCGTAATATCGACTTTAAGGGCCATAACAATAGAAAAACAAAGGTCGTTCCAGTGTTTGTTAGATCGTGCCACTCGCTATATCAATGCGCAAGGGGCTTACTTTGAATAAAATAGAGGTTATATCTTCAACCGTTGATTATTTTAATTTTATGGAATAATTTTCATTACTTAATTGTAGGACGTTGTGCATGGAAAGATAACATCAGAGAAATTCTATAACAGCAGGATGCGTCTATGGTAGAGGCAGCCAGAGAAGTAAGAAGCAAAATGTT